TGGGTTCTTCTCTACAGGTTATCGATTAATTCTGTGGGATTGGATGAGGACGAAGAAGGTAGACTTCTCTGCCATTTTACCATAGCCTATTCTTGTGCTTATATAAATGGTGAGGTGGTTATTATTATTATTATTTAAAATATATATTTTTACTGATTTCAGAGAGGAAGGGAGAGGGAGAGAGAAATAGAAACATCAATGATGAGAGAGAATCATTGATCAACTACCTCCTGTATGTCCCCCACTGGGGATCGAGTCTGACTGGGAATTGAACTATGGACCTCCTGGTTTATAGGTCGACACTCAACCACTGAGCAGCACCAGCTGGGCGTAAGATGGTTATTACTATAAGATTTGATAGTTTCCTTTTTTTGTAATTATTGTTAATTTTTAGATTTAATGATGTCACTTGAAGATATTTACTTTGACATATACTTGGGAAAACCTTGTGTGTTTATTATGACATATATTATAAATAGTATATTGCTACTTGTTGAGTAACACCCTCCTTTTTTTATTGTGTAGGATATTCTATATTACCTGGTAGTGTAGGTTTCAAAACTCAAAATATTTATTATATCACCAAGGGAGATTAATTAAAGAACAGGACACAATCATTGTTGGAATATATTGCTTTAAAATATTATTTTACTATTTTTAAAGGATATTTAGGCCTATTTGAACATTCTTTTTCTTTAATATTTTTATTTTTATTGATTTCAGGGAGGAAGGGAGAGGATAAAGAGAGAGACAGAAACATCAATGATGAGAGAGTTATTGATCGGCTGCCTCCTGCACGCCCCCTAATGGGGATGGAGCCTGCAACCCAGGTATGTGCCCTTGACCAGAATCGAACCCCGGGGCCCTTCAGTCCGCAGGCCATGCTCTATCCACTGAGCCAAACCCGCTAGGCCTGAATGTTCTTTTTCCAGTATCAGTGCGCACTTGCATGTACATTTCTTAAGTTACCCAGGACTACCATCTTTAAGAAGGGTAGCTATATTTTTGAAATTTTAAAAAAATGTTTTTATTGATTTTTAGAGAGAGTGGAGAGGGAGAGAGAGAGGGAAACATTGAGGTGAGAAAGAAACATCAATCTGCTGTCTCTCACACGCACCCCTACTGGGGACCCTATCTGGATTGAGCCCGCAACCGGGGCATGTGCTCTGACCAGAACTGAACCTTTTGGTGCACAGGACAACGCTCAACCAACTGAGCCACATGGGCCAGGGCTATTTTTGAAATTTTGAAAACTGCAATTAATGTAAACAGGCTTGTCACATAGATGCAAGGACTTAAAAAACAAAAAAACCAATGATTTATTCAGGGTTATAGACTCCATGACAGGCTTGTAACTAACGCTCAGTTTTGTTTTCCAACCTTGTATTTAATCCATACCAAGTAACATTTTCTGTATGGCTAATTTAGGTCCATTAACCGAAAGATAATTTATGAATAAACGCTGATATTTTCCTAGCTTTGTAAATCTGCCGGTGTTTTCTTCATTGTAATAAAAAAAAAGAGAGACCATGCCATCGTAACTAATTCTTGCCCCACACCCTTTTCTTCCCCTTTAGAAAAATTGGAAGCTGCGCCACCCACCCCAGAACAGCTGAGATACGGTAAAGCCTCTATAATTGTTAAATATTGTGCATCTGTATCTTGGGCTTGAAATAACTATATCATTTATTGATAGTACAAGAGTCAATACATTAAATCTTTCTAGACAGAGTGAGTTATCCTATTTATTATGCCAAAGCAAAAAATGTATAAACTCGGTTTAAGACATGTCTATTATTGCTTAAATATGTTACCATCTAGAAATAGAAAAATGAGGCTAAATGTATCAAAAACATATAGGTATTAGTTCTTCCTCGTTATACCTCTATTATCTCAGGTTATTCAGATCGTGAACTAGATAGATGAGGTAAGTGTGCCTTTGGTAGGAGGAGGCCAAGTTACATTTTGATTTAAATAGAATGTGTTTTTTTTTATAGTTTGTGAAAGCATTCAGGGATACTGAAGTATTATGAAGGGGAAAAAGATTTCTGAATGTAAATGTCTAATATAGATGAAATAATCACGTTTTCCTAACATCTGTTTAAAACAATTATTTAAAAGTGACCAAACAGCTTCCCTAAAATCTGATTCAGGGAATGTTTTTATTATTTCTAATGTGGAGATCAATTTTATGATATCAGCCTTTAGGTATAAGAGAGAAACAGATTGATGTCAATATCAATTAAACAGGAAAAAACATGGTATTCATAATATGTATTTACTTATTTGTTCTGCTGTTAACTATATATAATTCGTATGTGTTGCCAGTAAGAAAACACAAAAGCCTAACACTATTGTTTTTACATGTTATGGATTTTTTATTTGTTTTTTGCTCAGTATAGCTTCTACTAAGTAGCTAAACTTACAGTAGGAGTAGAAGAATCTTCTGGCTATGGGGAATGGCAAGCAAATTCCAAAGCTTATTGAGGAGACTTTAATCGTATGGTCTATTTTTGTCATTTTAAAATTATAGAAATCTTAAATTACATTTTTCTGTTTTTGATGTTTTTCAGTATTCATCCACAATGCGATACCTTTCGTAGGGTTTGGCTTTTTGGATAATGCAATTATGATTGTTGCAGTAAGTTCTTTCTCTTACCCCTTCTATTTTGAGCTAATATAGAAATTTATGTGGTCTAAATTTTTCTAATAATTTGCATATTGTAGCTGTAAAGTTTTAATTAACATAATGAATGAAGCTTTTTTTTTTTACTATGTTTTATGTTAATTAGGCTCTAGCTCAATTTTAAAGCATCATGTATGTTAATCATTATGACTTTTGGTAAAGCATTGACAATAACAAGCACATATTGATTGAGTATATTATTCTATTCTGGTTTCAACATTCATACTAAAGAAAAATGTATGTAAAATTTTCTTATGTTCTTTAATTGTATCAGTAGTTCACATCACATATATGTTATTTGATTAGTTCTTTGCTTAATTTTCCCATGCAAAAATGTTGTGGTTGGTTTGTTTGTTTGTTTATTTATGGTTATTCCTCACTGGAGGATATTTTTCCCATTGATTTTTTTTTTTTTTTTTTTTAGAGAGAGTGGAAGGGGGAGGAGAGGAGACAGAGAGAGAAACATCAATGTGAGAGAGCCACATCAGTTGGTTGCCTCCAGCAGGCACCCTAACCAGGGCAGAGAACCTGAAACTCAGGTACCTGCCCTTGATCAGAATCGAGCCCCCAAGCCCTTTGGTTCAAGGGCTGACACTCTAACCACTAACCATACTGGCCATGACCAAAAAATGTTTTAAAGCAGTGGTTCTTCATGTTGTGGTGACCCCCAACTATAAAATTATTTTTGTTGCTACTTCGTAACTGTAATTTTGCTACTGTTATGAATTGCAATGTAAATATCTGATATGCAGGATGTATTTTCATTGTTACAAATTGAACATAATGAAAGCATAGTGATTAATCACAAAAACAATATGTAATTATGTGTTTTCCGATGGTCTTAGGCGACCCCTGTAAAATGGTCGTTCGACCCCCAAAGGGGTCGCGACCCACAGGTTGAGAACCGCTGTTTTAAAGGATGTTTTGATATAATCTATCTATTCATTTAACTGGAAGATGTTATAAATTTCAATTCAGAGCACTGTGAATATATACCCCTTCTGTCTTTGTTCCATTGTAATGGGTAAAAAAGAATTTTCCTTTGCCGTGGTCATTTTAATGTAAGGGTGTTCTTTAGAAGTTAGCCTCAGGAATGGCCGATTTACGTTTTTGCTGTTATGTGACACCTTTTGTTAATGGATACCAGTATTGGGTTCAGACTCTAAAGTCAGAAATAACACCACGATTAAAATGCAACTATTTTGAAACTACCCAAGTGCTCTATTCACTTCTCTTCACTGACTTTCACTTTAATTAAAATCTATAAATTTTAGCTTTATGTAGGAGACTTTAAAAAAAAGGTAACGATTTTTGGATCATTGAATGTGAGGAAAATACATATGAGAGATACAAGGTTTGTTTTTGCTTTTTTTGGTGTTTTGGCAGTCACATGTCCTACTACATGTAGACATAAGTAGAATATTTGGTTTCAAAATCGGCATAAAAGTTTAATTTACATTGCGTAGGTTACAAAATTTGCTTAGAGAATATCTAAAATTGGTTCATCCGAGAATGCTTTTTGTTTTGTTTTTCTTTTGCTATATAGTCTCATTTTATGTCCAGATTCATGGAAATGAGATATCCAAAAAGACTAGTCCTTCCCCTGGTTGGGGAACTAACAGGGTTCACACAGCAGAAGGTGTCCTGTTTTGTAAATAGTCACAGAAAATACTCTAACATGCACACAACTTGAAGGTGATAACACCCATTGGATAATTCCTTCACAGAGTATTCTGGCAAAAGCTTCTAAAATGTGATTTCAAAATGCTAGTTTTTTACTGATTTCAACATTTACCTAATATGTACATAAGAATCAAATTGGTCAATTTATATATCTATGAATGTGAGACACTCAGCCATTTAGAACTACACTGCCCTTTCTGAAATTACTAAAATCTGAGTTGGTTAGATTATTTAAATAGTTAATGTAAGTCAAATATAATTGTAATAAAAACCTTGTTAGGATGAATTTATAAGCTACTAGAGGCCCAGTGTGCGAAATTCGTGCACAGATAGGGTCCCTAGGCCTGGTCAGCAATCAGGGCCCATCAGGGCCTTCCAGCTGCTGGCTGGGGCCTCCCTTCGCTCCGCACCACCCCCTGGTGGTCAGTGCATGTCCTAGTGAGTTATTGAACTCCCGGTCTCCCAGTTGAACTCAGGAGGGGACAATTTGCATATTAGGCTTTTATATATATAGATAGTTAAGACTCGATGTGTTTCTTGAATAGATCGTCTGAATCAAAGTTTCTCTGTGGCAAATATTTCTTTCAATTTTACATGACTCAATCTTTTAGATTCTTTTTATTAACAGCTACTTGCCCCCCTACTGACATCTTAATAATAATTTTTTCACCTCAGTAGGGCAGACCTTACATATTCAAATGCTGAAAGACTAATCTCGCTACAGGGACGTGTTGAGATGATATATTTTGCATAAAGGGGCTAAGGGAGATCAGAATAGGAAAATTGGTTAGCTTTTTAGATCCTGAATAAGACCTTCACCAAAGATCTTATTATTTCTTCGATATAAATATTTAAAGTAACATATCTGTGTTTAAATAGAGCTACCAACAAAACAAAACACCCACATTCTAGAGTCAAATTACTGTCCTAATATTCACGATTCAGTGTGACTCAGGCCTGCATCTCATTAGTAGTATAAGTGAGAGTAACCTATTTTGCAGGCCCCAGATGGCTCAGTAATTTAGTATTATTTGTTTTTCTAGTTTACATTGAAATCCACTTTCAGGGACTTAATCACCAGGTTATCACTTGTATAATACTAAAATAAATATTTAAATCACTGACTTCAATACCTGATTGAGAGTAAGAGGTGTGGCAAAAAATAGTTTCCTGTGATAATTGCAAACTAATTCAGGGACAGTGAAGTTTTCCAAAGAGGCTTTGTAGTACACTGCTGAGATTAATATACATAAATAATATAACTCTAGGATCTATGCAAAGGGAAACAGTGATCATTATTATCATAAAATTTTTTTAATGTTTCTTTATTGTTGAGAGTAACTACAGATGTCCCCCCTCTTTTCCTTCACTGTCCCCCTCCACCCGGCTCCCACCTACCTCCATAAGAATTATTTTTTACTTTTTTAAAAACACACGGATTGCCTCCTAATGTTGTGGACAGCTCTGTCTGTTTTACGATATTAAGTTACGATATTTGATTCTGCTTTTCTATCATGCCATAGACATTTGATATTTTCTTCTTCCGGTTAGGTGTACTCTGTGGGCTGTTGCTGCCCTAGTTGTACTAATAAAAACAAATTTGTATATAATTTCTTGTAATAGATTTGATCTTTATTGTTGACTGCTAATCCTACTACGCTTTTGGGTTTATAGCTCTTTATTCTATTTTTATGTTATTGGGATTGCTTTTGTAACCTAGTGGGTTTGGGGATTATTTTTCTGGCAATTTAACTAGTATAACATTTGTTAGAATTCTAGAGTAGATTAATTATATTCAGGTGATGAACCACATATAACCTGCAAGACAACTAGTGTTAAATCTGTTTATGATTTCCAACTCACCTGCTAACAGGAAATTTGATGTTAACTATGGGAAAAAAGTAAAGGCATAGATAGTCTATTGCCTTCAAACTGACTGACTTCATATGAGGCTTTTTATGCTGTTAGAAGGACCTTCAGGTTCCTTAAATTTAATCAAACGATTACACACTTAAATACTTGTTAAATACATGTACCGCATTGCAAACAGATTCTTCTTGGGTCATTCCTAGTGACTCACTGCTGTTAATGATGCTGTATTTATTTTCCATGCTCCGTAACTGTCAGGTGCGTCTTTTCTATATCAAAGCCCCAGTGTTGTTGTTGCTGTTTGTATCCATATATAAAGAGACACATCTTTTTTCTTTGTGCCCGTTCTCTTTTTCCTTCTTTGGGAATCTCTTCCTTTGGGTACCTTTACAACCTTGTACTTGTAAGTGCCTGGGAGGCTTCTGTGCGTCAGGCTGTCTGGGCCATCGTCTCTAAGAACTGATTTTACAGAGGTGGGACCAAAAGGCCGCGGGGAAAGAAAATTGAGGAAAGCTTAACGCAGCTTCTCTTCAGTTTTAGAAATAATTGATTAATGCAGTATTTCTACATATCACATAGGGCATCCTCTTTTCTCCACAAACACCATGGAGATTTTTTAAATGTTCAAGTATTCTTAGTATTCAAGAGGGCTTTTGAAAAGTATGTCCATTTATGGCAGCATTGCCCAAGGACTGGAACTGAGCTAGCATGACAGGTTCTAGGATTTCTAATTTAGTCTATGTAATAACCCATGAGAATAGTTTCATCTTCGACACTTCAGTTCCTTCTCTTTAAAGTAGAAATAAAAATATGAGCTCCTTTTTTCTTCAGAGGAGTGAGATGTGGAAAGTCTTAAACTCTCTCAATAAATAAATTCGGTGGAAATACAATAGAGCCTCATTTTTGCTTTAGTTCTATTGTATCAAATGTTGTTGTTACTTATAAATGAATCAGATAGTCCCAGTACTTAATGGCTAAACAACTAAGTGTTATAAGGGTAATTTTTGAAGTTTATGATATTTTGGGTTCCTAGATACTGGTTTAGTCTGGTTTTTCAATCTTTTATAGGATAAATAACAATAGTATAGATGTAGCATTCAGAATTTAAAATTTAGGTGAGTTTGTCAACTTTGTGCTCAAAGAGCTTTAAAGCACCTTTCTCTGTGATAAGAAAATATAAATCTTAGATTCTTAATGATGAATTGTATTGTATCTGTGTTGGTATTTTTTTTCTGAAAGCCTAATTTTAATGAAGAGATATTGATATTATTTCTGCATATTGCATATCCTTAGTAATTAAGTGAATTACTGCATTATATATGCATATTTCTGCATATTTTTATAATTGTGCTGCAATAACATGTTTGACTACTTTATCTGTTTTTATTAATGCTTTGCTATTCTTTTATAGTCACCAGAGCTTTAATATTTTAAGATTAATTTCTTTGTAATCTTTTTTTCAGGGAACCCATATTGAGATGTCTATTGGAATTATTTTGGGAATTTCAACTATGGCAGGTATTTAATAATAATAATATGCTATTATCTGTATATTTAAAAACATTTCAGTAGGTTAAGTATAGAAGGGGATCATTTATTTGAATGCATTTACTCATTGAAATGTCTACTAGTTTATCTCCTAAATCCTATTCCTTTAATTTTTAATTTTGTGTACATAATACTACGTTTTTCTGAGAAATTTTAGGTTCAGTATGTTAGTTGATGGGTAACAATAATCTACTACATTGACTATATAAATGAAAAGTTTTTCTTTTAATTACTGGCCACCCTGAAACCTTTCTATCTCTTTTCTCTATTCAATTATTTATTCTCAAGTTGGGTAGAAAAATCAAAGAAGGAAATACAAGATGGAAAATTTAATTTGGTATTATCTTATACTTTCCCCTCAATTAACACTATATTCTTCGTGATGGTGAAATCTGGGGATAGCTCTGTGTTTTGTGTGTTTTATGGAGCACATAAGTAGATGAATTAATGTAAGAGACATTTCTTCTCCTTGATTTTCTGGAATTTTGGAGTTGTACATATGGCTTTAATTTTCCCCAAATATCCAAATTCCCTCTATCAAACATTATCTGAAAGTTACAACTACAAAATATTGCACACATGTTTTAATATTGAACCTAAAATGGAAACTGGCTGCCACAACAGAAAAATAAACAACCCTGCTCCTTGATAAAGATTATAGAATACTATAATCTCAGAAGAATTGTGCTCTATTATGAAATCTTGAAATTCCGAGCTATTCAATGAGTTACTTTGGATATAGTTGTTTTAGTTTAAGAAATGTGGTAACACTTGCAGACCAGTGCTTTGTTAATTAGAGTGATGTATTCTAATGCTTTTTATGACTTCCACGTGACAATTGTCCATTTTTCACTTTTTTTAGCTGCTGCTTTGGGAAATCTTGTGTCAGATTTAGCTGGTCTTGGGTAGGTCCATACATTTATTCATTTGTGCATATCTTTACTTATTTGCTCTCTTTCTCTTCTCCATTCTCCTTAATTGAGAGGGCTAAAAAACAAACAAACAAACAAACAAAAACGACATTTATTTGTGTCTTTTAGAGCTAAATTTTAAAATCTTTGGTGCGCACCAACTACTGATGCCTGGGTCACACCCCAGTCATACATAGTGAGTGTTTCTTGGGATGGGGCCTTGACATTTGTGTTTAATAATCTTCTCAAGAAATTCTGACATATACAAAAATTTTTCTAAAGCTATCACAATGAAGCAGAGTTAATTATTTATACGTATGTATTTTATAGACATTTCCAAGACCAAGACAGGATTAAAAGTAAGAACCCCTATCATTATTCCACCCCAGCCTCCTCCCACTAAGCCCCAAAATAAGAGATGTGGCTCAAAGGGGAGGCTACTGACTCGGCATGTTTTCTCTAGAGAGAGGAACTTTCTAAAGGAATAATGGCCAAAGCATACATGTGTTTGCTTTCTTTACTCCCTGTGGCAGGAATGATGAAACAAACTGTCTACTGAGAAAAGACCAGTTTTCTCTCTTTCTGCTTTTACACTCTCACTTCCCAGTGGCAAATGGGCTGGGCTGCTTCCTGAGCCTGGGGAAGCTTGGGAAGCATAAATTAGGCTAAGCTGGCATTGATTACAGTGATACCCATACTCTCACACTCAGCCTTCGGTTTTGTTACTTCCTTCCTTGGTTCATTGGAGTGGTAAGTTTTGGAATTTGGATTTGGGGTTAATAGAAGTCTACTTAGCCCTATAGTCTAGGCAAAGGCAGCTTTATAATTGGTCTGACTCTACATGTCAGACTTTTGCGCTGCAGTTGGGGCCAAAGCTACCATTAAAAACAGAGTTTCTTTGCTTTGGGGCCAAGGCAAAAATTTTACATTCCTGGAATTTCTGGGATAAATCCATAATGATATCATCCTTCAAACATTACCTTTCCCAGTTTCCAATACTAAGGTTAGTGATGGTATTACAGCTGCTGCGATAGCTTTCTGCATTTAACCCCTTCCCTGGCAGAAACGTGTATACACGTTTTCACAAAATGTTCTTTTTTCAGTCGTCGACGAGTATACTCGTCTAAAAACTTTACCTTCAAAAACCAGCTACATACGTACCATTCTAAATAATTTCATCTAGAAACTTTCTGAGGAAATACTATTCTTAACCACAAAAATGGGAAGAAAAAATAATTACAAACTGTTTTCATAACCAGCATCAAAAATACTATATAGAACCAAAATAAAAAAATTAGTCTGAAAAAGAAACGTTTTTAACAAAAAAATTATTGGGGAAGGGGTTAATAGAACTAAATGATCTAATACATTGTGAGGCTGCTTCATTTTAGATTGCATCATAAGACAATTATTTTTGTTAGCGATAAAGATTTTGTTGGGAGACTTTATATTTAAGAACTATTTCTTCTTTGCCTTTTAAAAATATCATTAAATAACAAACACCACATTTTATCCATTATTAAATGCACAGTTTTTTTTTAGATTTAACATACCTGACATTGGGATCCATTCCATAATCAATGGTATGCATAGTTTAATTGGCATTTTTTCCTTATAGTTCATAAAGTAAGATAGTATCCAACAAGTGAAGGTAAATTAGAATTGATAAATACCTGAAATTGTTATGAAAATTCTAGGCTGTTTTTCTTATTATATCTATCTGGTAAATTTGGAAATTTTTGCTTTCTGATGATAGTTATTAATTTATATCAAATGTTAAAGTGCTTTACTTGGAATGTAGAATAAGTGCATAAATTGAAATTGTTGTAAAAAATTTCTATACCTTGAATTAGTTTTTTAAAAGAAATGGTAGAGAATAAGTTTGCTAAGTCAATTAATTTACCTATGTATTAAATATAGTAATATGAAAATAGTTTTAAACTGGATATATTTATACACAATAAAAATTTATACACAAAAATGTTTATGAAAATGTTGACACCATTTCTAGAGTGCCAATTAATTATAGGTATAAAACTACCTTGTTTCTCTTTGTATTAATTTGTTTTTTGCTACCTGAGGACTTTAACAACTTATTTTCTGTCCTCGTGTCTTTTTTAAAGACTTGCAGGCTACGTCGAAGCTTTGGCTGCCAGGTTAGGCCTGTCAATTCCTGATCTCACACCAAAGCAGGTTGACATGTGGCAAACGCGTGTTAGTACACATTTGGTAAGTACTTTACGTGGCTTATAAAAATGAATTTGGGTAGCCAGAGCAAGTTCAGTCCCTTGAGAAATTTGAGACTAAAATTGATTTAAGTGTAGGTTTTAACACAAATTGTCCAAGGCTTGGCAGTTTTCAGAGGGAGAGTAAGTTTTTTTATTGACTTCATATTTTGTAGGTATACTGCATTTTTAAAAATTCTTCATATGATTCAGTTAATCTTGAGGTATCAGTTTTGTGCTAGACATAAAATGAATATAGTTGTTTTGAGGATTGTTTAGGTAGAGAACCAGACATTTAAACAAATTATAATTTAGTGTGACATGCAGTAATGGAATTATAAACTAGATATAGGAATAGTACAAGTACAAGAATTAATACTTTGTGGGGAAAAGTTCTTTTCATGGGGAGATTTCTTGGTGATTATTAGATCTAAGCTGATTTTTAAAAATTATTGGTGAGACATTTACTAAGTGAACAAGAGAATTCCAAGTATATTGACTAGCAAGTAGAAAAGCATGATAAAAACAGGGTGTTAACAAAAATACAAGAGATTAGTAATTGCTGGGATGTGCTATGTAGTAGTTGTACATCGAAGCAATAATGGAAAACAACATGGGAGATGTAAGAATGGATCAGACAGGAAAGGCATTTTTCTGTCAGTGTATCAACTGTGCCAAAGAGCTTGAACCCCATACCTAGGTGGTGGAGTGCTATTTTAAATAGGAAGGAAACTGGATGGATCAGTGTTACCAATTAAGAAGAGGAGGAAGAACAACTTTTGTAAGGGAAGAGAATGAGTTCTATTTTGGACACGCTGAATTTGAGATGTCAGTAGAACACTCACGCGGTGATACCGAGTAGGCATTTCGATTAAAGGTCAAGCGTTGGAGAGGATTGAATTAGAGATGGTGGGTGTAATCATTCATCCATTAATTCAACAAATATTTACTGTTAACCTATTATATGCAGGGCACAGACCTAGGAGGTTTGGATTAGTTAGTTAATATTATTGGTCAACAAAACAAGATCTTTTTTCTTTTCTTTTCCGGTGGATCTTAAGTTCTAGCAGTGTGAGGAGAAAGAAACAATTTTAAAAACTTGATAAGTTAAATATTGAGAATATTAGAAGTTCACAGTATTATGGGAAATTAAAGAAAAAAAGGAAAGCTAAGCAGAGTAAAGAGGTTGGGAGTGCTAGAATGGAGACATTGTAATACTAAATAGGAGGGTCACACAGCCCTCACTGAAAAGGTCGGCGATGGTGAGAGCCAGGTGAGAAGGGGATTGCACTGCGCATGTTTGAGTGCGATGCCAGGACCAGCAGGACCAACATTACTGGGAACTGATTAGATATGCAAATTCTCAGGCTCTACCTTAGACCTGTCGCTGCATAAAAGCTTGTGTGTGTGTGTGTGTGTGTGTGTGTGTGTGTGTGTGTGTGTGTACATATCCTGCAATTTGTAGATCTATTGAAGTGAGATTAGTTAGCTAATATCAATCAGCCAGAGTTGTTGAGGAGTAAGGATATTCTAACATTCTAGGAATTTGGCTTAACATTTTAACATAATAGTTGGGATCAAGATAAGATTATTTCCTGGGGCCTTCTCTTCTGACATAATTTATAATTGTTTTCTTTCTATCCTATGAGCAGGTCTATTTCCCCCCTTCTGTAACAAAAGCACGTCACACACTAAACTGTCATATATATACTTGTTTGTATGTTTATTGATAAACCCCGTAAGCATATGTATTCTGTTCCTCAGTTGTTGACTCCGCTTGGTATGTCTGAGGGTCAAATCTTCTATTCTGTAACATAACATTAGGTTATAAACAGCCTGTAGTGGTTGAAGTTAGTGATCAGCCATCTAGTTATAACATATGCTAACTCTGAAATTTACCTAGAATAGAATATATGCCAGTACACATGTAGTTTCTAACTGACATACGTTGTATTTTAAAGCCTTATTTGTAATTTGGTTGTTTGAAACTCTGAAAATATCTTCTTGCATACGTTACAGATATACTCAAGTCCTCGGTTAGCTCCAGTATAATTAACTTTAGGGCCTAATATTATTATAAGACAAGATAATCCTATATAATAAAAGCCTAATATGCTCCTAGCTGGTTGGCTCTAGCTGGTTTGGCTCTGTGGTTTTAGCATTGACCTACGACTGAAGGATCACAAGTTTGATTCGGGTCAAGGGCAAGTACCTTGGTTGCAGGTTTGATCCCCGTGCGGGAGGCAACCAATGGTTTCTCTCTTGCATCAAAATTTCTCTCTCTGTGTCTCTCCCACTCTCTTGTATTCTCTCTAAAAATCAATGGGAGGAAAAAAAATGTCCTTGGTTGATGATTAACCATATATATATATAACGGGCGGATGTGAGAGATCCAGTTTTGGTCCTATCCCCGCAGGCCAGGTCAAGGGACCCCAGGACTCTAGTAATATATATATATATAATTTTTTTTTCAGGACCTGGATCAGGGAGCCAGAAAAGGAGGGATAGCCCATTTCTTCCCTCCTTCTCTGCCCTATTGACCATATTGACCCATTGAGAAAATTGTGTTGGAACCCACCGACTGGCATTCTTAGAGTGAGGGTGGAGAAATCCTTGGTTTTCATGGATGACAGTAACAGGCATTCTAACATTTTGGGTGGGAAGTGGAGTCTATTAGCAAGGGTCATTTCATGTAGATGGGGAAGTCAGGAATCTAATATAGTCTCTGTAAATATATATAAATAAATACAAACATTATCTAAGGTCAAAATAAGATTCTAGGTGAGGATTTTTCTTGTCTTCTGACATTAAAATATATGTTCAATATTTAATGAGTGTTTTCTACTTGAATATTCTTTGATGTTATTTTTATGGCAATTTGATAAAAGAAAAATTTCCTGGTTGCTTTGAACTTTAAATATCATTTCTTCTAGAATATTTTTGTAGCATATTTTTATATTTCGGTTATTATGATCAAAAGACATGCAGTCACAGTTGAATTTTATAGTACACTAGAGGCCTGGTGCACAAATTCATGCACAGGTGGGATCCCTTGGGGTGGCCTGCGGGGATCGGGCCAAACCCACAGTCCAATGCTGCCTGCAGCTCCTACCTGCCACTTCTGCTCATCCCGGCCCCACTGCAGCTGCCATGAGCTTGTGCCCAATCAGTCCTGGTCGGGAGAGGCTCGAGTTGCAGTAGCAGCACTTGCCAGCCATGAGCCCTGCATGTGGTGCCCTCCCGAGGGGAGTGGCCTGTGGGATCAGGCTGAAACAGGCTCTCTGACATCCCCCAAGGGGTCCTGGTTTGCGAGAGGGCAGAGGCCAGAGGCCAGGCCAAGGGACCCCACCAGTGCATGACCAGGGGCGGGGAGGGACCGCAGGAGGGCTCCAGGACATATCCGGCCCATCTCACTCAGTCCCCATCGGCCGGACCCAAGAAGCAAGCTAACCTACCAATTGGAGCATCTGCCCCCTGGTGGTCAGTGCACATCATAGCAACTGGTCGACCAGTTGACTGCCCCCTGGTGGTCAGTGCATGTCATAGTGAGCGGTTGAGCAGCCTTAGCATATGATTAGCATATTATGCTTTGATTGGTTGAACAGTCAATTGGTCACCAGACAACTGGACACTTAGCATATTAGGCTTTTATGATATAGGATAGTAATTGTTTATTATAGATACTTAAGCAAGGATTCCTCTTACAGCAATAAAATAACTTTCAAAAATGTTTTGTTTTGTTTCCTTAGGGCAAAGCTGTTGGGGTGACTATTGGCTGCATTCTAGGAATGTTTCCTTTGATTTTCTTGGGAGTAGGTGAAGAAGATGAAAAACTGGAAAAGAAAAATTAACCCTCGTAGAGTACCTATAAAAGATGTAAACTAATGTACCTCAACGATTAAATATGCTGTCACAACATTTAGGAATTAAGACAGTAACAGTGTATAGATATGGGATCAAATAATTCAGCATGTATTATGGAAAACACTAACTTATTGTGGCTTGGTTTTCTTAGGACATCTTTTTAAAAAAAACTGTTTAGTATCATTTTGTGTAAATTGTTGAAGTGCTTTTTCATCAACGGCAGTCAACATTTTATCTTTTCCTTCTCTTTCTTTATATATCCAGATATCATTTATCAGTCATTGATGTATTGTATTGACTTGGGGTTTGCTTATTTGTTATGTAATGTGTATATGCATGAAAACATTTTCTGTTGTTGTGTTCCCTATAGTTACAATTCAACCTTAAGATTTTTCCAAATTACATAAGATGTTTATTGTCAGTTGAAGATTTTTTACTCGCTTTCTGGCAACATCAATTTTGTACTGTTTCACAGAAAACATTCATAATCATATAATTTCAGTCACTTTTATTTACTCCCATATCTATTCAAAACAGATGCAGACTTTAAATATTTTAAGTTTCTGTTACTCATTCTAATTTCTTGTCTCAAGTGCCAGAGGTCAATCAGAATGAGCAGTTATGTGGTCTTCATACTACATAAAACCATACATCTTTTTTCTTTTTAAAATATATTCCATTGATCTTCCACAGAGAAGAAGGGAGAGGGACAGAGAGTCAGAAACATCGATGAGAGAGAAACATCGATCAGCTGCCTCCTGCACTCCCCCGACTGGGGATGTGCCCGCAACCAAGGTACATGCCCTTGACCGGAATCAAACCTGGGACGCTTCAGTCTGCAGGCCGACGCTCTATCCACTAAGCCAAACCAGTTAGGGCAACCATATATCTTAAGTATATTATTTCGAATGGATTGTTTTACTTTTAATTTCTCAATTTTGCATCATTACATGTTGATTTTTGACTAATGAGAGGCAGAAAATTATTATTGTGGGTTTTTTTCAATGGTGATTATGGAATTAGAGTGAACTAAGGGGTTTGACATGACACTTGAAAATTAAGAGGCTAAACAAATTTTTTCAGAGAAATAGAAAATGGGAACTGTCAAGAGGGTTTATGGGATAAGTGGTGACGTTGAAAGGATGTTTGTAAGGTTAATGAGATACAAATTATATTGTACAGGAAGGATTTATTCCCTCCAAAATGTCTTTTGATCTGAATTAAATGAGTCTGAGTACTTCCTATTCATAATCCTGATGTTATATCTTGTTTAGTGAATTTTACTTCTGGATAACTTCTTTTGAGGTGAAAAATATTTTATAATTGAGAGAGAATCTTTGATCGCTGCCTCCTGAATGCCCCCCTACTGGAGATCAAGCCACAACCCTGGGCATGTGCTGTGACTGGGAATCAAACCATGACCTCCTGCTTCACAGGTCGATGCTCAACCAGTGCGCTACACTGGTAAGGCAAAAATATTTTATATTTCACTCTTTGCTACATATAGTCTAATAGTCAAAAGTTACATGAGTTAAAATCTTTTTTTTTTTCCTTTTTGGTCTTTTTTTCTTCTTTTGTGGTATTTAAATCAGATTCTAGGTTGAAGTTATTTATTCCAATCTTGTGTATCTGACTTAAGTATAACCGTGTAGGAATCATAAATTTTAATTTTATGAACCCTTAAAGTTTGTTAGCATGTGGCCTGTTACACATGCTAAAAAAACACATTATGGAGTAGAAAAACTGAAATTAAAATTACTATTTGGGTTGCTGAAATTATTAAAGTTGGTAAATAGATGCAAAAGAAGGGAAACTTATAAGATGGCTGTATTTACAGCTATAACTTATTTTAAAAGTTTATTTGCAAATATTTACTTTAAGATCTTTTTACAAAGGAACTGATTTCCCCAAGGCAATTTACCATAAATTCGCTTCAGTGCACTTCAAAATAATTTAGTGCTATCCCTTAATCATAGATTTTAGAAGGAAAAACATAAATCAAACAATGAAAAGATAAACATATACCATTCTTATTATGTACAAATAGTATGACAGTCTCATTTGATCAAATTAGAATAGAACTTGATATCTTAAACAGAATTGTGGTTTGTATCTTTCACATAGTAGTATACACACACCAAAAAATTTTTTTTAAATTTTTTCAGGAGAGAAGATTAGAGTGCTTATTAATTTTTTTTTTTTTTGCTAAATATTTATGTGCTTTTGTCCCTAACTTGTATATTGCCAGTCCGTTCTGTTTTCTAAAAAAGCATATTATTGTGGTGCTTAAATTTTTTCTTTATTAATTAAATCCCATATCCAGAAACTGCCTGTGAGTTTAGAAAGGGCTTTTGATTACTGTTGTGTGTTTTTCTTCCTGTTGAAAATAACCTAGTCCTACAGAATCTTTCAGTTTAGCTGAACATCTGCAAAGTTATTTAAGGTGTCAAAACATGTAACATAAAATCTTCATATTGAAAGACATTTTAATTTATGGACACAGTAAAAATTTGCATCATTCAGGTAATTAATTAATTTTCAAAAAATGGCACCCTTTGGTCCTTAACCTAAGATACACATTTTTCCAAGATTTTTGTGTTCTGCACAAAATGATTTCTGAGAAATGGTTCCCTTTAAGATAATTACTTTATGTAACTATTATTTTATGTTACTTGTTACCAAGAACCTTATTTCAGATTGAAACTGGAATTCTTATTTCTCATATTAGTTATTTCTTTATTGAGAGCACCATAACTGTGGTTAAATGCAACATGAGCTACTTTCTAGTACTGTCTGTTTAAAATTCATGTTGTCCATGTACGATGATTTATTGACTTCTTGATGCATGTAAATTGGGTGCATTTTGTTGCCACTGTATGTTAAATGGTGACCAATGTTTCTACAAAAGAATTGAACAAGAAAAATCTTTTAAGAAATTTGGAATGTGGTTTTGACTTTGAAATTTGATTTTCTTCCTAATCTCAGAAGGGCCTGGTGATTGTGTCGCTAAAGGAAGTAGGGTTAATAGATGCCGATTTGTTTGTAGCAACGACGCTGAGACAGTAAAATAGAACTATTTATTACTTCACTGAAACCCACATTGAGATACAGCATTACAGATTATGAGAGAAGAATGATCCCATATGGAGGTAATTTATCTTTAAGGGGATGTCAAAAAAAACAAAAACCTTTAGAAAGATTGGCATAAACGACACTGATGGGAATTTACAGCAGCGACATCTAAGCCTCTATATAATAACGTAGCATTTACTTCGCTCCTTTTCTCTATTACTGCTTCAATTTAATTAGTTGTTATTAGTCTATTCAGATTTTCTGATTCTTCCTGAGTCAGTTTTGTAAGATTGTATGTTTCTAGGAATTTGTCCAATTTGTTGGCGTATAGTTGTTTTGCAGTATTTTCTTACCATCCTTTGTATTTCTGTCAGCTATTACTTTACCTCTTTTGTTTCTGATTTTATTTATTTAGGTCCTGTTTCTTGAGGAGTCTGGCTAGAGGTTCATTAATCTTGCTTATCTTTTCAAAGAATCAGCTCTTGGTTTCATTGATCTTTCGTATTGTTTTTTTGGTCTCTATGTCATTTATTTCCACTGTGATCTTTATCATCTCCTTCCTTCTACTTACTCTGGACTTTTCTTGTTTTTCCCCTTCTAATTCTTTTCATTGTAGGATTAGGTAGTTATTAGAGATTTTTCTTGTTTCTAGAGGTAAGCGTCATTTTTATGGACACAGTTATTGTGTTGCAATGCAATACCTCAGGAATCTGGTTTTTGTTTCTCATTTTCCTCCCTTTTTATTTTTTATTTTATTTTATTTTTTCTGCTCTCACTTCTGGAAACTGCTTTGTCTCTCCTCTCTAATTTTCAGGTTCTAGAGTCTGTATGAACTCCAAATTTTATAGGATTACACTCTGGAGAGGGGGTAGATAACTATGGGTTTTGCATTCACAATGTGAACATTCTGGTGTTTGGTACCATGCTTTCCATATTTATATTCCCTTGTGTAGAAAATGAAAGTTCTAAACTTTCCTCATTTATTTCAAGTCATTTCTTTTTCTAAGCAGATTTAAAGAGAAATGGTGTGTTACAGAACAGCTCTGCCAAAAGCTTAGTAAAATTATTTAGTCTTTCCTAGAAATTGCAGCCAGTGTTTTGGCTATCTGCTATTAACGAATGCCATCTGATATCTGGCATGTTTTATAAACAGGCTGAAAACTCTAGGCTGGGTGCCAGCTATATTCAGGTTTTATAATTATATCTTTCTGCAATATTCTTCCCACTCGGACAGCTAATAAATAGTTTAACTAATTTAAAAAATCATCTTTTTCCTTTGTCTCTGCAAGATTTAGAAATTCTAAATGCATTTCAGAAAAATTATATTTTTCTGCAGTCACTCCTACCATTGTGTTTGGTGTCCGGGAATGAACCAAATTATGAGGGAGGTGGGTCAACAGAACCATGAGGTTCAATTCCCTCTCTTGAGGATCTTCTAACACCAGAGAGACGGACAATCTTTGGGGATTCTGCAAACTCCAGAATTCTATGATTCTGAGTGACTCACGTGGCTCACAATGGTGCTAAGGCTTTATAATGCAGTATATTATAGTTTATTCTTATATAATTCAACATATTGAGCAATAAAGTCATTTTGACATATTCCTACTCTGCAGGAAGATTTAATGTAAGTAACCTTTTCAATAAGAACATCCAATTATTCAATTTCAGGAAAAATAGAAATGAAATATAGCAAAACATCACTTCAGGTTAAATTCTCCATGGTCCCATGACTCCCTGTTGATACCATTAGCCCATTGTTTCACATCTCTGATGTGATAGCTCATCACTGAAGCAAAGGTTACACCTATTTCGTTGTTGTGTCCTTGGTATTTATCACAAGTCCATATTACAGATTATCCCTCTTGGTTTGTTTGTTTTTATCATCTATCAATTTTGAACTTTGAAGGCTTGATAAGAGAATTGCAAACTCACTTACTATACATTATAGAATTAAACTACTCATTCATTGTCAATGCTCTTTTTAAGCCTTCAGCCTCTGAGCTGAAGGGGATAGCTGCTGCTGATAGACCTGGCAGTAGGTCATATAGGAAGACCTACATTCACTGCTGAAGTCCTTTGCTTTTTGAAACCATGTTAATAGTATTTGCCATTGGGAATCCAACAGTTCTAAGTCGACCAACTCCTAGCTGTGGGAACTTACACATGAGGACCAGTCTTTCTCAGACTGTCCCCATTTATAAAATTGAGACAGTACTAGCTCTACGGAATTTTAAGAATTGAGGTTATATATTTATAATACCTGGTGAATATAAAAAGTGCTGGGAATATAGGAGGTGCTCCGTAAATGGTTGCAGTGAAGATTTTAGGGATCTTTCTCCTGTCTTCCATTTGGTGGTTAAATAGTTGAAAGAAATGGAACCTGTTGAGTTTTTGAGCTGGGGAATAATGGGAACGTGGAAACATTCCATTTTGTGTTAAGTATTGAAGTTTCTGTCCATCAGACACAACTTTGATGAAAGTTAAACTACCAAAAGATATCCTAGATCAAACACATGGTTTTGAAGTTGTATGTTCCACTGCTAACCCTAAAATAACTGCAGTGAAGTGCGATGATTTGGAACCTC